CATAATCATGCACTTAGTTTGTTAAAATAATCTCCAGTAGCAGAGAAGAAGATTTTCAAAGAATCAATGCATTTTCACTATATAATCAATAGAGCCCCGCCCTAACACCAGAACCCCTGACCCTGGGGCCATGAAATTCACAATTTTGGAAAAGGCATCCTTATGCATCATAACCATGCACTTAGTTTGTTTAAATAATACCCAGGAGCAGAGAAGAAGATTTTCAAAGAATTAAAGCATTTTCACTATATAGTCAATAGAGCCCCGCCCTAACACCAGAACCCCTGACCCAGGGGCCATGGCTTTCACAATTCTGGAAGAGGCCCACCTCCTCATCATAACTATGTACTTAGTTTATCACCTTAATGCCCAGGAGCAGAGGAGAAATTTTCAAAGAATTAATGCATTTTCACTATATAGTCGATAGAGCCCCGCCCTAACACCAGAACCCCTGACCCTGGGACCATGAAATTCACAATTTTGGAAGAGGCACTCTTGCTCATCATAACTATGTACTTAGTTACTTTATTAAATATCCAGAAGCAGAGAAGAAGATTTTCAAAGAATTAATGCATTTTCACTATATAATCAATAGAGCCCCGCCCTAACACCAGAACCCCTGACCCTGGGGCCATGAAATTCACAATTTTTAAAAAGGCACTTTAGCTCATCATAACTATGTACTCAGTTCCTTTATTTAATACGCAGGAGCAAAGAAGAAGGTTTTCAAAGAATTAATGCTTTTTCACTATATAATCTATAGAGCCCCACCCTAACACCAGAACCCCTGACCCTGGGGCCATGAATTTCACTATTTTGAAAGAGGCACTCTTGCTTATCATAACTATGTACTTAGTTCCTTTATTTGATACCCAGGAGCAGAGAAGAGGATTTTCAAAGAATTAATGCATTTTCACTATATAATCAATAGAGCCCCGCCCTAACACCAGAACCCCTGACCCTGGGGCCATGAATTTCACAATTTTGGAAGAGGCCCTCTTGCTTATCATGACTATGTACTTAGTAACTTTATTTCATACCCAGGAGCAGAGAAGAAGATTTTCAAAGAAATAACACACTTTCACTATATGATCTATATAGCCCCACCCTTGGGCCAGAACCCCTGACCCTGGGGCCATGAATTTCACAATTTTGGTAGAGGGCTCAATGCTTATTACAATGATGCCAACAGTTTGACTGCTTGATGTCCAGGAGTAAAGAAGAAGATTTTTAAAGATTGCATTATTTTTGATGGTTTTAGCCCCACCCCTCAGGCCCCAGGGGGGCAGGGACCATGAAATTCACAATTTTTGTTCCCCTTCACCCATAAATGCTGTATACCGAATTTGGATGTAATTGGTTCAGTGGTTCCAGAGAAGAAGCTAAAAATGTTCAAAAGTTTACGAACGACGAACGACGTACGACGACGGACGAAAACGGATAGCAAGAGGTCACCTGAGTTTACTCAGGTGACCTAAAAATCAAAACGAAAAATGGGGGTCAATGCGCTTCTTTTGGCGACATGGAGCATTTAGTATGACCTTTTTGCACTGTAACTATGTCTAACACATAAATCAATTTTTAAGTTTTTCCTCCAATATATTTTTATTCAAATAAATTATGGGAACAAATAGAGTCTTATTTTATCTTGAATACACACGTTTAAAAAAAATTTGACAACAAGAGAGTGGTTCGAAAATTAAATCTTCACTGATTTTCAAAGATATTTTTTAAATATAAATTCATGCTTCCTCCTTCCTTTAACAATTTGATGTTACCAGATTACGAAACACTGATAACATCTAATTGTTAAAAGAAGGAAGAAGCATAAATTTATATTTAAAAAATATCTTTGAAAATCAGTGAAAATTTAATTTTCGAACCGCTAGTACAGGATGTAAGCAGTTTTTCCCTATAAATCTATTTTAGTGGCAGTCGCCCGCGTGGCGCAGTGGTTAGAGCGTTTGCTCTAGAGTCGCGGAGTAAGGAGTTGATCCTTACGTCGCAGGTTCGGATCCCACTGTGGGACGTGGAGACCGGTCTTTCGAATGAGACGGTATAAACCGAGGTCCCGTGTCGCTGGCACGAAAAAGATCCCTCACTGCTCAATGGCCCTAAGTGCCCAGTATACATGTACATAGGTCAAAATTTGCAGCTCTCCACCGGCCAATGGTGGCGTCTCCATATGAGTGAAAAATTCTCGAGAGGGACGTTAAACAACAAACAAACTTAGTGGCATTTTAAATCATAACGCCTGGTTGGTTAAATATTTATCAATATCTTCAGCAATTTTCTATCAACTTATTCAAACTGTGTAGCTATGTGTAGATTATATACACATACTTTATTTTAAATCAAAGCTAAAGTGCAATGCATGTGTATAGAGAGAGAGAGAGAGAGAGAGGAGATATATATATATATATATATATATATATATATATATATATATATATATATATATATATATATATATATATATATATATATATATCTTTTTCATTTCCTCAAGTAACTGTTGGCTGCATAAAATATAAATTAGAATCAGACACATGTATCAATTATCAATAAAAATATATCTGATTTGAGATCAGACGACACGTTCCTCAATAATATATATTTTTTCCCAAGAATTTGTCATTGAAGTATTGATACTTTAGTACTAACAAGTTTCCTAAAAAAGATTAAGGTACCTTACCAGGTATTTGAGCAAGATACCGGAGGATGCTGTTTACTATATAATCCTATTGGAAATCATTAGCATTGCCAATATCACAATTTTTATGGTGTCTTATCTACTTAGGCATTTTAAAAACAGCTTAAAAATCAGAAGACAATGATAATTATGATTAATTTGTTATATATTATGAAGAGATACAAAAAACGGATATTCGAGTAACATGTCGTCAGACCTTAACGAATATAAAACACAAACTGTGTAACGTACGTTTTTATGCGAATAAGTAAAAAGGGATCTGTCATTTTTGTCGATAGTAAATGATAAGCAACTTTGTATATTACATATATATTTTTAAAGATGTACTTCATGGACGTAAATATTTTGTGTATCTCGTAATTTATAAAGGGAGAGAACATTCTGATCTTTTTAATGTATTATAGTTAACCTTTAATTCTGAATACCTTCTGCCACCTCAATCCCATACACCAAAACTTAAACGTATAGAGCAGCCCAATCCTCCGAGCTGCAATAAGCATACTTGAGATTACCGCGGGTTTTCTATGATGGCATCAATTATTAACTATTGTATGTTACAAAATGCCATTTTTGAAAAGACAGAGAGGAACTGCTGTTACTTCAAACAAATAGAATCAAGTATGTATGCTTACGCCTTCTGTCGATGACATCTTTTCCTACATAGACAACCTATAGAGAAAGACATATTGATTTTCAACTCATCTATCAATTTTCAAACCTTACATTAATTGTGCCTGACTGCTGTTTCAATGATGGTTTGCAAAACCTTCACGACATCGTACTGGCCATAAGATACTCCTGCCATCAAAAATGAAATCTGGAGATAGCGCACAGCTCAGAAGACCATGGGAACAATACAAATTTGGAGCACAGCAAACACGGACCTCTGAAAAAATCAAAGGTGGGATCAAGGGCCATTGAGGAGTGATCATCACATCTCGACCGGTCATACCGACCGCGTGTTCCTTGTCATGATCGGGCAAACGGAAAAAAAATCCGTAGAAAATTCAGTATGAAAATAACAATTTGTATGAAACTAGAGTGTTCCAAGGAACGCATGTGTCGCCTGCTTTGTTGCTTCATTAAAGATGTAAATATATCTAAGAGTAGCTATTGTTAGCTATTTATTTACTACTAGCATAATAGTTCATGCAGAAAAAAGCATCCATGCATAGTATAAGACTGCCATAGAATCTTACAAAGAAAATATGATCCCCAACTCTAAGATGAATTATTAAATTGAATTTATTATAAATAATTACATATCATTTTACATGTATTAATACGTGTTTAAAGTCTTTACTCCAATTGTCAGTCTACACGATCCACTGTGGGATACGGATCCCGATGTGTTTTCATAGTATTTAAATATCAGTTTGTGTGGTAACTGAATATCATACAGTTTTAAAGTACAGTATTATGAACTCATAAACATTTATAAATGCTAATTATCAACACCCCGCCTCTCAAAATTTCAAAATACTTAAGTTAAATTAAACTGTCCGGAGTTTTTTTTGCAAAGTAGGTCAGAGGTCAAGGTCAACTGAATAGTAACTCTGGTATTTTTCATGATGTTTTATGACTACCACTGCACATGCTAAAAAGCATAGACTTACCTCTTAAATGTCAAAAATAAGATGTATATTGGCATTATTCACTTTTTTGTAAAGTAGGACAAGGTCAAGGGTCACGAGGTCGGTAACCATGGCAATGCACAAAAGCCATAGTGCCATGCAATATATGTTTAAAATATCAAGTCCATATCTCTTACAGTTCCTGAGATACAAGATGTGACAGACGGACAGACAGCTAGACAGACAGACGCCGGGTAAAGTGATCATTAGTTTTCATGGCTTTAAGAACTGGGGCGGGCGGGCGTGCCCTCAACTAATTTTGCCGATATATAGATCACTATAGAAAACATTGCTACTATATCCCTGTGCCCCCTCCATAAAATCGTCTGATGACTTTTTTTGGCTCGTCAAGGAAATTTTGGTATTTGATAGTACCCCCCAAACTGAAAATCAATGGCTGTGCCCCCCAAACTGAAATTGCTTACTACGGGCCTGGTTTTTCAAATGCAAAAAATGCTTTGTTGTGTTTGTAGCTTTGGTGTGCCATATGTCATCGAGGGAGTAAAATACCTAAATAAGGATAGAAAAGGTTTATTCTTATCTTCGTCCATTGAACGTTGGGGGAAGAGAAACTTTTTAAAAATATAGAGAAAGTTAAACATCAATTTTCCTTTTTAATTTTTTTCTAAATACATAAATATTGTTGAAGTCTTTTACCAGTTAAAGTTATTGACCAAATGTTGTGCACGTGCTATTACGTCATTGCTGTAATCGCCATGAGTTGTATGCTGGTCGACAGTGTTCCAGGAAGACACACGACCAGGTCCAGTGTTATAGGCGGCAATGGCACCTAAAACAGAAAAAAAAACACATAGTAAACTTCAAGCAGAATAATACATAGAGTATAGATAGAATAACAATAAGTTCTTTGGAAGAATTCATTTTATGACCATAAACATTTTAAATATTTTGATAGAAAAGATCACATAGTACTAGTATTGACAGTGCCTTGACTTTACCTAAGTGTATATTTTAGTGTCACAATATTATAATGAGTAAGTGATTATTGTAAATAATGACCCTTATGTGACATGTCTTGTATGGTTAGTTTATTTATGTACCTAGTTTTACACTATGAATCTACAGTGTTCAATTTATGTGGCTAGTTTTACCTTTTTCCTTTTCCTAATTTTGTGTTCAACCAATCAGCAAGCTCGGTCGCTATTATTTTCTGTGTGGTCAATATCACTTGACATGGGTCCTTATAACCACATATCGACCTACACTGTAGTCCATAATTGTGTAATATATCTAATGTGCTATCTTTCCCGATACAGTGGAATTGACAAATGTCTTGGTGTCATGACAAGACCCCAGTTAGAATAATGTAACTGTGTCTCGGGACAAGTCCTCACAATAGTTAGAACACATCCCATATACTTGCAATGTAGCAAATCGGAGCTGATCCGCTCCGAAATGATTTTGAAGAATACAAAAGGAGTTGCACTGAAAATAACTACAAAATTAATCATAACAAACCTTTCTTAGATTGTAAATAACTAAGAAATAATCCATGTAAATACGAAAATGCAACTTATTTTTTCAACGTTTTTTACTCGCTTCAAATTTGCCCGCGTGGCGCAGTGGTTAGAGCGTTCGCTCTAGAGTCGCGGAATAAGGAGTTGATCCTTACGTCACGGGTTCGAATCCAGCTGTGGGACGTGGAGACCGTTCCTCCGGATGAGACCGTATAAACCGACGTCCCGTGTCGCAGTAGGTGCTGGCACGAAAAAGATCCCTCACTACTCAATGGCCTGAGTGCCGAGTATAGGTCAAAATTTGCAGCTCTCCACCGACAGGTGGTGGCGTCTCCATGTGAGTGAAAAATTCTCTCGAGGGACGTTAAACAATAAACAAACAAAACAAAACAAACAAATTTACACGCCATGTTGACATTTGGAACTCTCTGGGTTGTTCATACAATATGCACAGAGTTCGAGTTATCGCCCGTGTTTATTTGCTACATTGCCAATACATGGATAGAATTCTATCGTTAAACCGGGTCCGAAGGACATCATCATTTTAACGATAGAACGTTCTATCTAGACAAGACCCTTGAATGACCTTGCTTGAAACCGAATTTCCCGAGGTGCATTGCGCACCATTTTTGCCCAGATATGAAGTTAGTGTTTGTGATTAGTGATGTTGCAAATAAAAGCAGTTTCCCAATTAAAAATTAAAAGTTATATATATATATATATATATATATATATATATATATATATATATATATATATATATATATATATATATATGTGTGTAACTTTTTATTTCAGAGTACATTTACAATGACTAGGGATTGATGGAATGGTGATCTATTAAAACCTTTTAATAACCTGGCTTTTCTTCGGTAAAAGTATTGGTAAAACGAAGTTTCAGCAATTTACATTAATGAAAAACAAAAGTACATGTACAAAATTCTGTAATTGCAAAGAGAAAAAATTAATCAAAGAGTATATGTTGTCCATCAAAGCGGAGTTATAAGATCTATGCAAATTTATATATAGAAATTGCATATGTATGTTCAACACTTCATTAAGTTTATGCAGTAAAAAGCAATCCCAATTTTGATCATACGCATTGCAAAACATGTATGTACATGTCTATAATTTTGCAGGAAACAATTCTTGTGTACTATTCTCTCAGACAGATGCCGTTATATTTTAAACTAAACCAAATACGTTATAGACGTTCTCATAAATTTCTGAAGTTTTCAACAGCCAAGGAGACTCGTACTACTTTAGATGGATGAAAACTTACCTTGCAACTGTTGCTCCGGAGTCCATTCGGGAAATTTCGTTTTCATGGAATTAATATTTGGAATAAGTACGTATTTAATCATCATGTTAATGTGCTGACAGCTGTTGTATGGGTAGGATGTACATGTGAGATTATAGTTACAAACTGGACAATGACGTATATCACACTACAACAGTAAGAGAAGAAAAACAATAGCCACAATTCTAACCTTCTATTTCAATTAGAATTTGATCCAAGATGTGCAAGTATTTGTCTTAAAAATTTAGTTCAGGGTTCATACCCAGTTATTATCATGCATACAGTTTGCTTGCTGAATGTCCATCTATCAAGGTTTGTTTTTTTCCCCCGAAGATACCTGCATTTTCATTAAATGACAAACTAAAACTCAACCGAGGGCCTGAACACATAAATTATTTTTTAAAAACGGGAGTAATTATCCTTATAACCATGAGAACAGATTGCCTATCAGTCAAAATTTTCAAATTTATAATGGATTTAAAATGTAATTTTGCCCAAACATTGGACCTGAAGATTTGTGAATTTCACACTTTTGGTACATGTAGAGGAATAACTGTTCGTTATAATCATGCTATAATCATGTCTGCTAGGAGTCCAAGAATAAGATTTTTAAACCTGTAATTCATTTCTAATAATTATACTACTAGTAATTCTCTAGTAGACGACAAGTAAGCTAAATATCTTGCATTTCTGGCACGTAGTATGGGGGGGGGGGGGGCTGCCCTCCCTCCTTTTCCAAACATAACCTTTCACTGTTGAAAATGTTTATTGAATTGTTCACTCTTTGTTGCAGTATAGTCAAATCAGGGTAATATGTTAATGAATGAATAAAATTTAGTTGGAAAGAAGTTAGAACCCACACACACACGCGCGCACGGGCGCGCGAAATAGGATGTTTGAGATTGCCTTTTTTTTTTTCAGGTAAATGTCAAATTTTTTTTCTGGCTCCCCCACCCCTCCTTCAAAAACGATACTTCCTGCCTGCATTTTCGGTGTTATCGAAATACATGTACATGTAGCCCCGTATAAGGAATTAAGTCCTTGTTTACCAGAGATCATGAAAAACGTAATTTTGATAAAGAAATCAAAGGTCATTAAGATCCTGCAAACATTTTTACTGTAAGATTTGCAGGAGTGTTGAGCATGATTTTATCGCCCCCCCCCCCTCCAACCTAGTACCTTAACAAATACTAGTAATCCAGAAGATACGAAGAACACAAATCTGGTCGATAGCTCATTGCATATTATAATCAGGCAAACTGATCTTGCAGAAAAAAAGATATCGCTTTATTTCCTTTTTTTTTATATGTTAAAATGATTGGGACGTACATTGAAAACAAGCAATACATTCCGTTACTACTACAGATGCTGTATGGTAAATTTATTAAAATCGGTTCTGTAGTTCTGTAGAAAAGCTAGATATGTTCAAAAGACATCGCGCAGAAACAAAATGACTGAGGAAAACGGATCGCAATATCTCAACTACTTCCCAATCCAAACAGGGGTGCAGCAGAGATCTCTGCTTTCACCACTGTTCTTTACTTTCTGCATAGACTGGCTTATGAAAACCATTACCAGTCAGGCCAATAGAGGAATATCCTTGACATTTTAACAGTCACTCGAAGATCTTAACTTTGCAGATGACAACGATTTACTAGAACAACGACATAGGGATATACATAGGACAACTTCCGAGTATTCCATTCCGAGGTCTCTGGTTTTATCTTACATTTAGGACCCCAACCGGAAGTTTTGTATCCCATCTAAAGTCTTATTTTGTATCGTGATAATTTTCGAGGAATAAATGAGTGGTTTACAATAAAGAGGCTCGACCAGAGACGTCTGAAACGAATAAAGTCTCTCGGAGCGAACGATGTCATTTCAAAGTAGGTTAATGATTGATATACATTGTATTAACAAAATACGACCTTGAAGCGGGTATGCGTGAAATTGACTTAGGTACCTTGTGGTAAAAATAAGTAGGGGGTGCCCCGTAGTGCCTGTGGACCAAGCACACAAAGAAGAATAAATTGTCTGATAATAACTACCTACATATATTAAACAAGGACAATATTATTCGTTCATATCCTTATTTTTTAAAATCCTCCAATGATTATAGTATACAATCATCTGCAATAGAAGATACCAAGGATGGTTTTATATACTGATAATATTATGAGATAAATTGTGAATTTTTTTTGTGTTAGTTTTTTTCCAAGCTTGTTGTACACTCCTATATTTTTTTTATTTTATTTCATTTTTTCCATTGAAAAAAATGATGTCCCATGCATGCTCTTTAACTAAAATAAAGTCGCAGCCCCATCACATGGTTCCTAGAGACAATTTTATACATCTTGGCAGCAAGATCACAGCCAATGGAGATTCCACCATGGAGGTTGAAAATAGAATAGCAAAAGCCCGTGCCACTTTTGCAAACCTACGGAACATCTGGAAGTCTTCAATTATCAGAACCAAAACCAAAACAGGGATATTCAAAAGAAATGTTATTGGAGTCCTTCTTTATGGATCTGAGCCCTGGAAGGTGACAAACAACATTATCATATAAAATCTAGATACCTTCCAAACAAGATGCCTAGAATACTTAGATATTCTGGCCGAACAAGATCAGCAATGAGGATCTCTATGAAAGAATACAAACAAACAGCTGCCATATCTGACCAGATTAAAGAAAACCGATGGAAATGGCTTGACCATGTCCTGAGATTTGAAACATCAGATATACCAAGGGTAGCCTTAAGATGGACTCCACCAGGAAAGCGAAACAGAGGGCGACCAAAGGAGAAATGGCGAGGATCAGTGGAAAAAGAGTTGGAAGATCAGGGGTGGACTTCGGGCATGGTGCAGCAAATCTAAGCGGACAGGCAGAGATGGGTGTTCTTTTGTAAAGGCCTTATGTGCTCAAGGTACGAAGAAGACTAAGAAAGTATAGATCAACTGAGTGAATCATGTGACATATAAAAAGATTCAAAATTACCTGCAAAATACCATATCCATTGCCATGATCTCCCCAACCATTAGTATTCCTGATATCATATCCCACATTTGTTTCTCTACTAGCCATACCGGCAATTACAGCGGGATGTATACCTAAAGATTAAGTAATAAAATACAGACATCAGCAACGGTAAAATGGTGGCAGTCAGGTAAAAGGGCTTGCAAAACCACTTACATAAGTCTCTGCCGACAAATTCAAAACAACTTTTATACACATCCGCTCGAGAGTCGTAAAGGTAGGATACGTCATACTGTGACGTGGAAACTCCTGATAGAAGAAAATGTTTACTGTAATTACTAAGGCCATCATTAAAAATATCTTTGTTTCCCCTAACCCGACCCCAAAATCTCAAGTTGGGTCGGTAGGTAGGTAAATTATTTTTTTTTCTGACAGCAGTTTTGGAAATACATTCTGAAAAATTGAATAATATCTTTATAAAAAAGAAAGAACAAAAGAAACCGATTTTTAAACCGAATATCATACAAATGAAGCAACATGTATGGTAAATTAATTCACAAATATTATTCATTTGAACTTGTGAAATATCTCAGGCCAGCGTAAATTTATTGAAATCGAATACTTACAAAAACACAAGATTCGCAAATACAGAACCATCGGACATTTGAGTACATTTTTAAAACCTACTCTACTTACATAGACAAAATGTCAAGGGCCTTGCGTGGCGCAGTAATTCTAGTGTTTCGTTTTGGAGTCACGACGTAATTCAGGAGCTTATTCTAAGTCACAGGTCCCGACGTGGGACGTGGAGACCGGTCAGTCGAATAAGACCGTAAAAAACGTAGGTCCAGTGTCGGAGTATACATGTAGATGGCACGTAAAAGATCCCTTACTGATGCTTAATAATCAATGGCCATAAGTGCCGAGTAAAAGTCTAAATTAGGAGCCCTCCACCGGCTCAACAATTTCTAAAAGTATTTTAAAGCAAAGAAACAACCTGTTTTCAAGGGCCTAACTAAAGAAATATAAACTGGACGTCTCAGGAAGCCGTACCATAAGCAAATTTTAAAGATTTCAACACTATTTGGAAATAGTGTACATGTATAAACAGTGTATAATTCAACCAAACCATATCTTAAATGATTAAAGTTTCATATATCTAATTTTGTAGTCACGGAGTTAATACCCCATAGATGAAAGGAATAAAGAAACGACATCTGAATTTTATTTATCAAGATGAAATAATCATACAAAGACATATTTACAACTCCTATGGTCCTATATAGTAAAAATACATGAACTGTTTATTAGATCGAAACGAATCAAATGCAGTGAAATTTTTGATATGTATTCACAAAGAGCGCCCCTCATCTGCTCATGAGGCAGGCTTTGCTATGCGTACTACGTACGTAAATTTTAGAAGACACATTTGTAAATACCATCTTAACACTCCTTAGTCATGGTACATTAATTCACGAGATGTCTCAAGAGTTTAGGATTCTAATAAGTTAAAGATGTATAAGATTAATATGTCACCATTGTTTTATAACACGAACTAACCCTCTGTGGCCACATGTTGTGGACACCAAACAAAAGCTGCCGTTCTGATAAAAAACGGATTTTGATGAAATTGTATTTTATAAAGTTGATTAACAATAAAAAAAAAATATTTCAATAATCTGATTAAAAAAAACTTTTCAGTCGGCACGATTTAAGTGGGTCGGTCGCGTTAGGGGAAACAAAGGTAATTTTTATTTTGGCCTAATACAGATTTTTAATTTTATACATACTTCATTTTATTTGAGATAACTTAATAATTAAATTCGTTATGATTAAATAATGTTGCTTCATAGCACTTCTGAATTAGTATTAAAATATTTAAATGATTTAAGGTCTAAATCAGAAATGCTTTGAAGCAATCGTGTTGTTTTAAAGTGACAAATACAAACGTTTTTAATATGACAACTTTTTAATTTTGTTGATTTTTACGAAAGCGACTGGAAGAGATTACGGAAGCAACTGTGAGAGAATGTGTACATATATTTCTGACTTTTGCAAATTCAAAAGGAAGACCAATTAAGAAAGTAAAATATTACCTCCACGCTTTGCCCCTGTAGGAGTGAGACTCATGAAGTTCCCATAGCAAGTGTAATTACCTATAATGCAAAACATTCAACAAAAGTGACGATAATAATTAAAAACAAAACAAGGGATACGATCATAAAGACACTAACTGTGCGATGACATCATTACTGTGTTTATTGCATTAAAGGGGCCAACCTGCCCTAAAAAATTGACAAGCAAAAAAAAAAAAGTCCTAATTGACTGTCCAAATCCTGGAATTTGCCAGTGTTTGACCTTATGTCAACAAAAAGTGGAAAAGAGGGGGGAGGCAACCATCATCTAAAGGAACATTTTTTACAGCAAAATTCTATACTCACAAAAAGTGAGGACCCCCCCCCCCCCGGGCCTGGGCTTAAAATCAATAGTTCATCTATGTGATTTACTTGTATATTACATGCATTAATTAATATTCTATCCTTCACTGAAAATAAAGAATATCTACAGATTTTTGTTGCGTTTGACAAATTGGATATCGCCTTCACTCCCAAAATAAGAATACACTAGTGACCTGGATAATGTCACAACGTGTCTTAAATCAAGGTCATGCCACACTTTGAGGACATACTCAAGATGAAATTTATTTCACTGCTTCATTGCCCGGCGAACTTGACCTTTGACATTGTGAAGATTATGATCAGGCCCGTAGAACGCAGGGGGTGAGGGGTCTGAGTATTGTCTTTTGCTGTAGTTTTAATGTGTAAATTTTCATTTAGATGCTTGCAACCCCCTCCCCCCCCCCCCTCCCCAGTTTTTGTTGTAAGGGCGAACGCTGGCAAATTTCATTATTTGATAAAAATTGTGCCAAAATATTACAGGAAGGTCCAGCCCCCTACACGAAATAGGATTTTCGAATTTGGACAGTTGATCTTTTTTTTTTTGGGGGGGGGGGGCAGCTCCCGTTGCTACGGGCCTGATGATATAAGATGCGATCATGAATAAGAAACCAATAGTTGACCCTATTTCAATAATAAAAATTTTGAGAAGAGTAACTCGAACTTGATTTTATGATAAACAGGTAGATAACTGTACAAAAGTAACCAAGTCTCCTAACAGAGAGGGGGACAAATAATTAACGTACATAACATATATGTAAAATATACATGTACATAACACACACACACACCTACCTGTTGCGTTGACCACTCCATTGAGTGCTACAAGGATACATGTAGCTAAGAGAATAAACGTTTTCATGCTTCTTTGTTGCCTAAATTAAATTGCATAGTTAGAGAATGGATATTGTGCTTATTTGTTACCCTTTGAACAGTGTCCTACTGGGATTCATATTATTTTTCTTTTCTATAATCTTGTATTTTTTAAATAAAGTGCTAAACATAAAGATTACTCTTAGTAGTAGTACTTCAAAATGCAAGATATAGTCACCGTTCTCGGTGTTCATAACCGCCAGCAAACATCGAAGTTGAATTGTGCACAGTTAGATAAAATAAGTTACATATTAATCAGTACAAGCAAAGATAAGGGGTTTCATTTGAGATAAATAAATTATCGATCTACAAACCTGCGAAATTCCTTTACTGTAGTGTTCCTTTATAAAGAGTGGTATGTGCGGTGGTCATTGAGCAAACACTGAAGGCATCCTCGGTTACTTGCTTTGTGCCAATCAGACAGGTCACTCTGCTAACTTGTGAGGCAATGCTATAATTACGCAAAGTATTGTTCACACAAAGCCACATTGTATTATATCTCTGAGGTCCCATACTCTTCTTTTTAAACTTCGGCGTCAACGGCATCATCAGAAAAAAACGCTAATTCAGTAATTCATTACATAAAAAATCAAGACGCGTATCACTTCTCTTTCTCTTGCTCTAAATACCCTGCTCCAAGAAATATCTATGTAATTAATGCTATTTTGGAATGGTTAATTTACGCGCAGTAGACACATTTTATTTTGGGGAGATGATGGAGAATTTAAAGCAGCCCAGCAGACCAGGCTGCTCTGTAATAATGAGTTTGCGAGATTGTGATGGAGAATTCGACAGGAGAAGTTATTACCGTCTTCTTTGGAAAACGGTATACAGAGTTGAAGTGTTTTCGAACTACGCACTTCCTCTCTTCTGTGATTGGTAGATAATGCATGATGAGAAAATGTTCAATTATTTCATTGGTTGAAATGTTGTGCTAGGCAAGGGAGATAATTTTCTGGTGATGTAATGTTTTCGTACGACTTAACAATTTTCAAGATTTTCAGTCGACAAAACGAACAAAAGAAAATTGCAGTAAATAAAACTAACACTTTAATTTTTTATAGCAACTATTATTAAGTTTTTCTATTTTTATAATAAACAGAAAAATGTTGTTTTATTCTTTTTCCTTCGTTTATATGGAAGGGCTAATGTCTGTAAAATGCTACTGACCTGTTGAAGATGTACAAAGCCAAGAACTACAGTACTTAAAAATAATATGGCCTGAAAGGTGTATGTCAGTTTACAGTTTAAGGATGTTGCTAAAGACGACAGAGCTTTTAGAAAAAACTATACTTGTTGAGAAATTAAACAACATCTTGAAAAAGTATATATCAGATTTTTAAAATCTTATTATTTACATGTATAAAATATGTAATATTTTACTTCCATCATGTTCAAGTGTAAAATAGAGATGTGTTTTTGATCTAATATTTAAGTTTGCTAATTACCGTCTTCCTTGGGAGACGGTATACAGAGTTGAAATTATTTGCTTACGATCTAATTTTCGTACTGAACGAAAAAAAAATTACAAAATTTTTAATCTTAAAAAGAATCGACAAAACAAAAAAAACTGCAATAAATGAAACTCACACTTTATAGCAATTATTAAAAATTAATTCATTTCATTTACAGTTAATAGAAATGTTCTTTTGTGCATGCAAACATTATAATATGAGTTTTATTAATTTTTTCACGGTCTTTTATGTGGCGACACTAATGTCTCTGGAATTCTGTGGCAGAAATACAAAACCAAGAACAACTCAAGAATAATTCGGCCCGATAATAACGGTTTTATTACTGTTTAAGGTTGTTCCTAAAGACGGCAAAAATTTGGCTAGTATACTTGTCATATGCTTACAGCTCTTGACTTTTCAGATCATGAAAGAAACTGGAGGGATGAGCCGAGCCATATGCCCACATAAAGACAGATAAAAAATCAATAAATTTATTTCTCACAAAATCCACTTTTTGTTAAATTTAGGTAATGCTTATTGCTTATTTCCGTTTGCATACAAAATTGACAGTACCTGAACACAGTAACTGCGAAATTGATTATGATTAACAAAACAAAATAGCAACACGACCAATTTTCACAAAAACTGACATAATTTCAATGCTACATCTACTTTTTTAAATAGAGTGGGTCATCGCTCCGCCCTCCCCTTTTTTTAACGAAAAATGAAAGGCAATGTAAGGATGTTCCTTTTCACACTTGCAAAAATTTGGTATTAAGACCCACTTTAAATGAAAAATAAAGTTTACTTACTAATATTAATTATCTACGGAAGCCGGTCGGTGCCAGGTAGAAAAAATATTTTATCTGGCGGCCGCCAGATATAAAGATCTGACGACCGCCAGATAACTTATCATATAATTTCTGGCGGCCGCCAGATAAGTTATCTGGCGGCCACCAGATCTTTTTATCTGGCGGCCGCCATAAAATTATTGGCGGCCGCCAGTTATTTATGTGGCGGCCGCCAGATAATTTTTTTTCTACCTGGCACCTACCGGCTTCCGTAATTATCAACGTGGTCTGAAAAATTTCGAAGTCCAAATACGCTTGCTAAATACGGAGAACTGTTTGTAATTTACTGAAATGTCCATATATAATGTGACTGCGTGGTGTAATGGTCAGCGAGGAGCTGTTGAACGGACATTTATTGGGGAAAGTGTTCGAATCATGCTGTGAATTTTTTATTATTTTTTTATTGTAATTTTATTATTACCATTATTTGGTTTTGTTTTACTTTGCCGGATAACATTATAATATTATTGGAATAAGTGTACTCACGTTTTTAGCCGGGCTCATTGTTCCTTCACGGTGTTCAACCGGATATGCTGCTTCATCACCGCCAAATCAAATTTACGAGTAAAATCGTAGTACTTATGCTCAGTCGCTTTTAAGACAATAAACACTAAATAAAACAAATAAAATAATTTGAGGATTTTTTTAAACAAACAAACATTAATAATAATGTACTTTCTTCCATTTTCTTCGATTAATTATTTGTTTAAAGATATGCAAAAGATTTACATCAGTGGCCTGTTCAACAGAGCGAACGTTCGCGAGCGCTCGCGAATATTTCTGTAGGAAAGATAAGGAATTTTGGCGAGCGCTCGCGAACGTTCGCTCTGTTGAACAGGCCTCTGGTCCCACTGTCTGCGTCACATTCTATAAATAGTAGTTGTTGTGTTACCAGGGTAATACTAATGCGGGGAGCAAGTGACCTGATGTAACTCCCCGCTGAGGACTCACCTGTGCACAGACGTTTGACCTTGCTGCATCAATATTTATTTACTTCTGTATGTGGTATATATTTCTGATCATGATATACGTACAAAACAGGCATGAACATTTGGCTCGGCAAATAAACCGGATTCTTAACTAGAGTGTTCCGAGGAACGCATGTGTCGCCTGCTTTGTAGTTTTATTAAAGATGTATAAATAAATCTAAGAGTGGTCATTCATGTTAAAATAGATATGTTTTCTGATCTAATATGCAAGGTTGATTATCATATGCAATCGCATTTTCCCCGCCGGTCGTTCCGTCAACCTCGGATAAACATATCGAATGTATTTACATCACTGGATGTTAAATTTTTATACAAAATGGAGTCGCTTCCTATTTATTAAAATATTAGATAGATAGAGTTGAGTGTCTCTTCTGACGTATATTTTAGGTTATATCTTGACATTCAATAAAGTTAAGCTTCAGACTACACAGATAAGAGGTCCTCCTAAATATATTTTAATGTTTATGAAAAGGGGGTTCTGGATGGAATGTTTTTCTGCTTGTCAGAAAGGCTCTGGAAGTTGCAATACTATCTTATGCTTATGTACAAAATGACAGCTCCCAATTTTTCAAAACATTAAATTTTAAAACACGAAAAAAAAAAAAACCAAACAAACAAACAAACATGTACCCCATACTCAACTTGCATACTTGTATTTAAATATATGTAATACCTCTCTGATTCTCATTCATTTTTTTTTTAAACATTTTATTTTAGACCTTTGGATCCAGTGTATTTGAGCTTTTGAACATTATTTTCTGTAATTTATTATCATAAAGAAGAGGACGTTATAAAATTTAATAACGTGTCCGATCCTTTTGTTTTACAACTGAAAGATCTAAACAATAAAATATGCCTAAACTAGAAGAAAATAAATTAGTAACACAAAGATCCCAAACTTTTTTGTGTGGATGCATCCACAGTATCAGTGCACAGCAAATGAAATCTGTAAGAAGCCAATGTTACAGTTAAGTTTGGTGTACTGTGTAGGAAAACAAAAAAAATCACGAATTATATTTATTATACATGTATATATTGTGGAATAAAAAGTGAATGAGTTTCACGAACGTCCTGTTTTAGCTCTTAGTGACAATAATCTCATCAAAAAGCAATGGGGAAATTTTCAAATTACACTGAGGCGATAAATTTGAAGTCATGAGAAGTTCTTGGTTAACAGTAGGTAATGCATTTAATTTTGGGTGATTCCTTACCAGTCTTGTACCATATAAAGTATGCTTGTAAATTTTTCTTATACTAATAAGTATGTATATCTGGAAACACATATATAAGATTAAGTTATATACATACGTATATAAGATTAAGCTATATATACATATACATACATATATAAGATTAAGATACATTGCTAAATCAATACTCCAACTATGTATCAAGCACTGCCTTGTGCAAAATTACTTCAAAATTGTTTCAAAATTATCGCTTTCCCGCCTTTTTTGGACTTTTAAATGTGTAACCTCTCCTGTAAAGGAGGCATGAAAAGTATATCGTTGTCAACAATGGATAAGGACGCCAACTCGGGAAGAGTTTGTACTGTATGTGGATCAAAAGAAAATTTAAAACGATGTACACGATGCAAAGAGGTTGTTTATTGTTGTCGTCAGCATCAGATACAGGACTGGCCTTCTCTCATAAATTAAACTGCACTCTAAACCAAGTTAAAGACACAGTAACGAA